TTTTTTTCCTCGGTCCGCCGGGCCGGACATTTTTTGTGTCTGGTGTGCCGGTCCGGACGGTCCGGGTCCGGTCCTGTCCGGATTACCGGACGTCTGGACCAGTCCAGACAAATGTCTGGGCCTCGGTCCAGACATGTCCGGGTCCGGGTCCGCGGTTGCCATGAAACGTATGTATTGCACTGCATTCAAAAAATTCAAATATTTGACCCAAATTCTTGTGTGTGTGTGTGTGTGCGTGTGTGTTTTAAATGAAATTTACAATCTAATTGATCAGCTTGTTAAAAAAAAAGGATAAAAAAAAGGAAAAAAAAAATAAAAATCTCTTTACGCGTCCTTAGATGATGGGTGGGGATTCTCTCTGCTAATCAGCTCTACCCTTAATCATTGTCAGTTTTTGAAATTTTTGATGATGGTTCTTTTGTCCTGATTGACCGCAACTCCTCCTCGCCCTTTCATTGTCAATCGACCCTAACTACTTCTTGCTTTCTCCAAATTCAATCTGAAGTTTTTCATTAATGTATTTGAATAAAGTTCAGATTGTTCAATACACAATAAAATTTGAAAATAAAATAATGAAGAGTAATTTTACTATCATGTTTGAAAGACTCTTTTAAAGTTTTTTTAACTTTTTTTTTTTTTTTTTTTTTAAATGTTGAATTGTAATGCCTGTTCCTTGTTGTCAGTGATGATCTCTGGCATTCTTCTGTCTTTTGGTTCCGTCTCTGTTTTTTTTTTTTTTTTTTTTTTTTGCCATTCCGCTTCTCGTTTTTCCTTCTTGTTGTGAATCATCATGTCTGTCTTTCTGCCTTCACTCCATAGTCGTTCCTAAACCTCCCATTATGCCTCTTTCTCAGCCGGTGGTCATTTTCCATCTTGTAAACTATCCATCTTTATTTGTGGATTGTTGTTTCTATTATATTCTTCCATGGTCATCGTTTTACGAGAACGAGTCGCGACATTTGTGATTGGGGGATTCTTCTAGTGCAGCTCTGTTTGACGATATATATATATATATATATATATATATATTGTCACATTGTGAATCAGAGTGCAAAAAAGGGAAAAGAAAAAAGGAAAAGGAAAAAAGGGAAAGGGAAGGAGGTAAGGAAAGCTCCACCTGTTCATAACCTCTTACGTACAAGGCCAGCCACGTGGATGACAGGTTGAGCGCTGGCTGCCCCCATCCCCGTGTGTCACAAGGACCCACTTGCACGCAGCCAAAAGGCAAAG